TACTTTGGTCTCTGTATTTATTTCATTGACAAGTCGTTGTTATAACTGTGATATTATTACGCTTCGGGAGTTGGCCCTTGAATAGGTGCTCGAAAAGAATATTGGTGCAACACCTATTCTCCCAACAATATATATATATATATATAATGTAACATATGAGAAATAGCATAATTAGAATGAAGAGGGATAGGAAGATGAAGAGAAGATGGTACAATTAATAAAACCCATAAGGGTATTTTTGTAAATTCACACATTGTTATTTAAGATTTTATATTAAAAATCGCAGGTGAAGCTCGTGAGTTACAACCTCTGTTAATTATTTATGGAGTAGGGTTTTTTTACAATATTTTAGAAACCACGAGTATGTTTTATAGAATTTTCGAACTATGAGAAGTTTGAACAAATTTGAAAAATCATAGGAAGGGATTATGCTATTTTGCCAAATATAAATATGTATATATATCTTCGGTTGGGTTTGGTGAACCAAAATATTATCAAAACCAAAATCAAACGGAACCGAACAAATATCAAATAAAATATGCAATATTTTTATTCGAATCAAATTTGTTCAGCTAGTCAAAATTTCAATTTCGTTCAACGGTTTAGTAGTTCGATTCAGTTTTTTTTTTTTTTTTTTTTTTTCTATTTTATCCACCCCTAATTTCAAGAACGAACAAATAAGGATATTTATAAACAGAACTGAAGCACAACAACAATGTATACATTTTTATGTTCGAATATGTTTGATTATGATTTTAATAATTAGATAAAGACGGATCCTATATTTCTCATATTAATATGTATTGTACATTAATTTTTCTTTAAGTAATATAATTATAATTCTATTTCAATATTTATAAATATTTGTATTTATACTTTATTTCTATTTTTGTATGAAATGTACTATTAATCTATTTTATATTTTGTAATACTTCTACAGGGTTTAGAAAATAACAATTTAAACAACTTTTATCTTATTGAACAACTTTTAGGTTTTTGCATTATTAGAATTTCAAAAAATGGCTTCGGAAATGGCGGGGCCCCTCCTCCTCTTTCGTCTTCTTCTCCGGCGGCAGCGGGGCTTCTTATTCTTCTTTTTTTTTTTCCTCCTTCTCTAGCGCGGTGGTGGCTGCGGCGAAGGCGGGGTCCTTCCTCTTTCGTCTTCTTCTCTGGTAGTGGTGGCGGTTGCAGCAGTTCCTCCTCCTTCTTCTTCTCCCAGCAGCGGCGGAGGCAGAGGCGGCACGAGCGGTGGCGGTGGGTTGCCGAAAAAACATTGAATTACTTTTTTTATAAAAATAATAAAAATTGTTTCGAAAATTCTAAACTTATATCAAATTCGCCTCGAAAATTCTGACACTGAAAATTTTGAATCTATTTCAACAGGTCTCGAAATTTTGGAGCGGTATAAATACCTTTTAAAAATATAAAATAAAATAAAATATTTGCCCTACCATAAGACAAAAAATACAAGATCAGAAGAAATGAAAAATTAAGAAAATGAGAATAGCACAAGACCTGTACCAATCTCTCTAAAATAAAATCAACCATGTCAATATAATATAAGCTCGAGCAAAAATCAATATGGTCTCAATCAAATTTAGTTTAATAATTGTTAATCTCATTTAAAAATAATTATTAAAATTAGTCATGTATAAAACTTAAACCAGCAATTTTGGTTCCACTGTTAAAATTTTAACGGAATGTGATGACTTGGCTATAAAGAAAGTTAGAGGTGCATCTAGGGGTGGAAATACGCAGGCCAGTCAAACTTTGGCTAAATAGGTTTGGCCTGTTTTAAAAATATATAGTATGAGCCTGGCCTAAAGCCTGAAAAAAAAAAAAAAATTTAAAAACCTAAATCTGGCCTTTTTAAAAGTCTGGCCTGGCCTACGAGCCTGTTTAAAAGGCTACATAATAATTTTTTATTATTTTTTTGTAAATTTAGTATTATAACCAAAAAAAAAAATACAATTATTTATATTATATATATAAAAATTAAAATTATGTTTTTTCAATGACAAAAATAATAATTTTAATTTGTCCTATAAAGTAAAATATATAATAGTAATAATTTGCAAAAATATATATATTACAATTCATAAAAAATAAAATCATTATTTAGAATTGCAAGTCTCAATACACCAAATGAAAGCTAATAGAGATCACTGCATAATAACATTAAAAAATATGTATTTTACATCAACTTATTTTCATTGAGTTGATTATTTTCACAAAGAAGACATACAACAATTAACTAAAAAAATAATATTGAAAAATTCCACAAAATATTTAGAAATTAATAACATAACTCCACCACGCACAAGAATTGAGACTATTTCAATTAGGGTAAATAAAATAAAGAAATTGTAGGGGGAAACAATATGTGTGCAACAACCATTCATATATTGAAATTTTAAATTAGGATAAAAAAATTATTTATTTTTGTTTTTTTTATAATAAATTTATAATTATTTTTTTTTAAAAAATATTATTATATTTTTATATATCATTGTTAGATATAATACTATTCTTAATTAATAATAAAGAGAAAATATTTTTTTATAATAATAATATTATTATTATTAAACAGGCCGGCATGTTTGATAAAAATGTTTTTTTGTAAGCTTAAGTCTACTCTATTTAAATAAAAAGGCTTTAATAAAAATCTGGACCTGACCTTTTTAATAAATAGATCATATCAGGCCAGGCTTTGTGCAGGCCAGGTCGTAGGTCCTGACAGACAGTTTGGCCTATTTTCACTCCGAGGTGCATCTGATTCAAATCAAACACGGTCGTATTAGGCAGAACACAACCTTATTTGAAAGCTGCTCCGCCGTCTGGTTGGTGGCGCCGCGGCTGCTGTCATTTTTGGCCCTCTTATCTTTAGCATCGGAAGACAAACCATCGTCCACCATTGATTCACAGCTGCCGGTCGCTAGCTGCTAACCAATCTACAAATCGAAAACAAGAAATAATCTTAAGAATATAGTCATAATTATAAAATTAGTTCAATCTGTGGTCTTATTTGCAACTCACGTTTACATCCAAAGTTTTGGCATTAGGGTGCGAACAGTAACTACCAAATACTTGAAATTTAGTTTAAAAAAATGTAGCAAAAGTTAATGAATTCATAGCAAAAAAATTTTTTGCAACAAACCTCATTTTGTCGCATATATTGCTTTTATAAAGCTCTGACAAATATGACTTTTGTAACAAAAAATATATTTTTTTGCAATGAAAGTTAAAACAAAAGATATAGTATGAAAATGTGATTTCGTAGCTAAAACTCTTTTACTATAAAAATAAAATTCATAACAAAAAAAAAATTAGCAATTAAATATATATGATTTTTTTAGTGAAATAATTTTAGCTATGAAAAATAATTTTGTAGTTAAAATATTTTGCTATAAAAATAGAATTTTCTACTCAAAATAGTTTTAGCGACGAAATTAATTTTGTAGTATATAATTTATTTTTAACTATGACATTAATTTTTGTTGCTAAATAACATGTTTTAACTTAAAAAACTATTTTGTAGTTAAAAATATTACATCTAATTAGATACTTTTTTGTACCGAGTACTAATAAGTTTCTTGTTCACAAGAAAGTCCACCACTTCTATAAAAACCACGAATTGTTCATCGACGATGCGGTTTGGTGTTCTTTCCTGTTCGAATTTACCGGAAACATAATCAATCCCTTTATTCAATGATCCAACCTCTTACTCAAATTAAACCGAAAATCTTGTCTATTCCCAAAAGAAACCCAACCCGGTCGGAATATAATTCTCTAGGGTTATCCTCTATCCATATATAAAACGCAACACACAAATATCACAAAGTCCAATATTTGCCTCAACTCTTTTAAAATAATGAAAAAAAAAAGAAAAAAAGAAAGCAACATTCAAAGGAGATAATAGAGAGATAAATATAAGAGAAAGAAGATGAGATAAACGGCAAGGAGATCAAACACGGCCATATTTAACACAGATTTAGGGTGTCATATGTTCAAACACAACAGTGTTCTGCGTAACACAACAATATTTGATCGGAATCAGATGCCACTACAACTTTCTTTACAATTACGTTAGCACAAAAATGATTGTTTAGGTTTTCTATGAAACTAACTTTGATAATTATTTTTAAATGAGACTAGAAATGACGAAAATAGATTTGATTGAGACCATTATTAAATTTTTTCTGTATAAGATCAAACACCAACGACTATATACATATAAATATATGAGACAAGTGCCTATATACATAATATACACAGAATATTCCATCCTTTGTATAAAGAAAAACAAAAATAAAAATAAAATTCAAATAATATTATTCAGTTACAAGTCATCGAGTATTAGGGGTGTCAAAAGTAAACCCGACCCGAAAAACCGAACCCTTTCGACCTGAAATTTTTCAGGTTCGGGTTTGGGTATTTCGGATTTGAAAAAAATCGGGTCGATTCGAACCTGAAACGAAAAAAATTCGTGTCGTGTTCGGGTCGTATTTCAAGTTGACATGATAACCTGAAATATCAAAATCATGTTAGGTTTTGGGTTTCATGTTGACCTGAAATTTTTATTATTATTATTTTAATTTATAATATTTATATTAATATAAAAATTAAAATAAAAATGATATCTTTTAGGTCAATTTAATTTTTTTTGAAAAAATTTTCAGGTCTGTTTTGTGTCAGGTTCGTATCGGGTTTGTTCGGGGAACCCGACATGAAAGAATTCGTGTCGTGTCGGGTCTAGGGTTTCAGGTCATATTTCGGGTTCGGGTCGGGTTCGGATTGACAGTTTTTTTGTTATCCTCATGGCTCAACCCGACGCGAACACGACCCAAAAACACGAATTGACACTCCTATCTAGTACAAATGTAAAAGTCCCCACAAATAGAAATATCAAACAAGCATCGTTTTTTCATTAATAGATATCAGCTAATCCATCTAAAAAACTTCACTTGGACAAAATGGACCAAAAAACAAATGGAAGATCATTAAAAGTAATTGTCAGGGTCGCCAGAAGAGTAGCCACCAAGATCATCAAAATTCCGTCCATAGGCAGTGTCATATCCTGAGTCATAAAAATAGTCGAAATCATCAGAAGCCCAGTGAGGATCATCGATGGGATCATTGGGGAGCTTCAAATATGTCATCTGCTCCGAAATTCGCTTGCGCAGATTCTCAGGTAAATAAATGTCAAAGCATCTACGGATATCAAGCGATTCAAGATGTGGGCAACTGTCGAGAATTGCTTCCAATCCCTTGTTCGTCATCCTGTGACCAAGAAGGCAGAGGTGGTGCAAATTAGGCATGCTTTTGGCAACTGCCAGTGCAATTCCATCGACTATATCAACTTCATTAGGACAGTAATTAGTGAAGGACTCAACTGACGACAAGAGGTGCCAATGTTTTGAATCTCCTTGGGGAGGATGTCATGGAATATAAGATGCAATTCTTCTAACTCCCTGAAATTCTGAACTGCTTCTCCAAGACATCTGCTTGACAAACCGCCATACACTAGCTTTAAGCATTTGAGATTACTGCAACTGTTTTGACATGATGAGAGCAAACATGAAACTCTGAGAGCAATGGAAACCATGCCAAAGGACACAAACAATAAGAACAGTCACATAAGGAATTAAAGGGCAACCTCTATCGTACTTACAATAATAGACCAAGACATTCCGTAAGAACTCGACTCTCATTAATTTAAGCCATTTCATCTCAGTTATGCAAGATGAAAACCAAGACTTCCAGTTTCTTGAAACGGTCGAAACATTGAAAAACTAGAATTTGTTCAAACAGTACCTTCGTGAAATGTACAAAATCAACTCGTTAGTTCCAAAACACTCAATTGTAATGTCGATTAACTGTCCCTGGCTACGATCAACAGCTTCGTGGCACATCATTTCAAGCTTCCTTGATGTTGGGATATCGAAAAAAGGCCCGCTTGGTTCCATGTGGATGACCCTCCACATAGAAGGATCTTTGCACACTCTCCACCAGGCTGTGCATACTCTCTGTGCACTTTCCAGGATCTCTTCGACGTTGAGCCTTCGAAGGATATTGGCTGTGATATCAGCTGGCAACTCAATCCAAGGTAGAGATTTTGATGGTGATGGAGGAGGGATCAACATAGACGAGATGCCATTGCAAATTTCTCTATGTGACTCTTTTTCTTCTTCTTCCCTACTTTTTGTTTCCATTTTCTTTTTGCTTCGATACTCAAATGAACAACGACTTTTTTGGGTGGGAAAAAAAAGACACAGAAAACTGTTTAATGTCTTCCAGGCAGTACAACACTAACAAAAGAAATAATGTTGTAAATATAGCAGATTTAAGGTAATTAATGAAACCATAAGGCAATTAGGGAAAGTGGTTGGATTGTTTCTGTGGGGTTCCCGACACAGAATTGAATGAATCAATGCTTTAATCCATGATCGATTAATTGAAGAATTAATTAGCTACACAATAGAATCAGTTTGGTTTCCAACCCATAGGCATAGCAATAGCCTCACCTTAATTCTCCATGGGAAATAGGAGTATTAAAGTGCATAAATTACTCTACGCATGCCATGCATGGTATTATCAACAGCCTGCCTGCTCTTTAGGGGTTAGCAAAATATCCGAAATCCAAAAATCCAATCCGAACCAAACCGAAATTTAAATTTTGGTTCGGATTTTTCAGATTTTTGGATTGGATCGGATTGAATTTTTAACAAATTTTGGATTTTCGGATCGGATCGGATCGGTATACTTAAAATCCGAACCAATCCGAAATCCGAAATATAACATTTTAATATATTTTTTTATTATACATATTTAATATTTTATTAGAAAATATTATATTTTAATATAAAAAACTCAAATTTATTAATTATATTTTAATATATTTAATTTTTATACATTATATATATATTTAATATTATAAAATAATAATAAAATTTAAAAATTTTAAAAATAATAATAAAAATATTTAGAATTTCGGATTTTTCGGTTTGGTTCGGATTTTTTAGTTCGAATTACGGATTTTCGGATTTCGAATTTCGGTTATTTCATTCGGTTCGGATTGATTTTTTCAAAAATTTCGAATTTTCGGATCGGTATCCGAACCGAAAATCCGAATGCTCACCCCTACTGCTATTGAGCTTCTGCAGAACTGGGAATTTTATGAACATTTAAAGAGTCATACGAAAAGACCTTACTCCGTATCATATATCTTGATTGGGATCATCAGCCGTCTATGAAAAGGCTTACAATAATTAGAGTTGTTAAACTAATCGAGCCGTTCGTGAATTCGGCTCGGTTAAAGCTTGTTCGCTATAGTTAACGATCCGAGCCAAACTCGTTTAGGAACAAGCCCGAACTTTGTTTGCAAAGGTTCACGAGCAGTTGGTTTAAATAATATATTTATTATAAATATTATATATGCATATAAATTTATAAATAAATAAAATATCAATTTAAAATAATAAATAACATAATTGTAAAAAAAAATTTAATTTATATATAAATTTTAAAAAGTGAGACACACGAGTTCGAACAAATTCGAACGAGCTTAATCGAGTCTAAATGAGTCGAATACGAACACGAGCTCAAACAATAAAAACTGTTAACGAGTCGAGCTCGAACACTATGAACGAACTCAAAAGCTTAATGAACAAACACTAATCTTATTTGGTAACGTTAACGAACACTTAAAATTTAACTCAACTCGACTCGTTAACAGTTTACAGTAATGCACGACATGTAGATAAACAAATATAAAAGGTATTTATATTGACGTTTATATAGGAGTTTTGATGTGTATTGATTTGTGGATAATGAATAAAATAATATAAATGTGTATTAAATTTAATTGATAAAATTTATATTGTATGATTTGATTATGAATATATATTATACCTAACATATATATTAAAAATTTTATTTATTTGTATTATAAAAAAATTTATTCTCTATAAAATGACATATATATTGTACATATTTTTTAATCATATAATTATTATAAATATTAAATAAATATAATATTTTTTAAAAAAATTAATTTTTTCTTAATACAATTTTCAATACAATTTTTTTATTTTTCAAATAGTTATATCTATGAGAACTAAGATTTTCAATACAATTTTTTTTTATTTTATTTTGCAGGGTTTAAATCATTCTTTAATTATGTTCTTCTATTTTATTTTTCAGGTTAACAATAATCTTTATATATTTTATTTTATATATTATTATATAATTTTTTAAAATTTACAAATAAAATCAAATATTTAATATAAATATTAAGTATAAAATAAAAATATAAAAATAAAATATTTTATAATAATAAAAAAAAATATTAACAAAAAAATAAAATAAAATAAAATAAATAGAGATAAAAATATAATTTATACATATATTTAAATTCATAATACTTAAAATTTAAAATAAATAATAATAATAATGAAAAACCACAACCTCTCTATTGAAGGGTCCGCTCAGCTCATCGGAATTCTGATAATGCAATTTTGGAAGGTTGATTGGAGTAACCAATTCTATAGAAATAGCAAAATTAGAGGGTGGTAATGCAATTTTGGAAGGTTGATTGGAGTAACCAATCCTATAAAAATAACAATTTTTGCTATTTTTGCAGTTGTAGATTGTACGAAGTTCTAGTTAGGGATATCAATTCGTGTTTTTGGATCGTGTTCGTGTCGGGTTGAGCCATGAGGATAACAAAAAAATTGTCAACCTGAACCCGATTCGAACCCGAAATCTGACCTGAAACTCTAGACCCGAACACGACACGAATTCTTTCAGGTCGGGTTCAGATTGACCTGAATTAGTTTTAGGTCATCCGAAACCCGAACAAACCCGATACGAACCCGACACGAAACAGACCCAAAAAATTTTAAAAAAAATTAAATTGACCTAAAAAATATCATTTTTATTTTAATTTATAAAATAATATAAATATTATAAATTAAAATAATAATAATAAAAATTTCAGGTCAATCCAAAACACGCACTACAAGAAAAAATTATTTTTGTAACAAAACTTTTTTGTCTCTAAATCTACTTTTTCCGTTACTAATGACATTAAAGACGGAATTAGGAATGAAATTACGTTAGCTACGTGAACTTTAGGGACGGAATTCCGTTACAAATATATTATTTTTTTGTAGTGACGAAACCCAAAACCTAACCTGATTTTGATATTTCAGGTTATCAGGTCAACCTGAAACACGACCCGAACATGACACAAATTTTTTTCGTTTCAGATTCAGATCGACCCGATTTTTTTCAAACGCGAAATACCCAAACCCGAACCCGAAAAATTTCAGGTCGAACAGGTTCAGTTTTCGGGTCGGGTTTACTTTAGACACCCCTAGTTCTAGTAGATCTCAGAATGTAGTGAAGGCATATTAGGGAACCTGCCAACAAATACATTGACAAAGGCTTTGATAGGAGTAAAGCTATCAACAATGCGATCTTGGACCTCACGGAGACTGAAGGAAGAATGTCGAAACAATTCTTATTCTATTAAAATAATTCATCTTTTAATTAATTGTTTACTAAGTAAATATATATATTTATCATTTTTTATTATTCATATTAAATAAAGTAAATGATTATAACTCATCTGTTAAAATACGCATAATTTATTAATTTATTTATTTATTTATAAACAAACGGGAGTTCACCGTTAATTTAAATATATTACAAATATTTTTATATTTATACTTATTTACATTAATAATTTCGTAATAATTTTATACATTATAAGAAAAAAAAAAAAACTGTTTACATACAAAATTATCACAAACTATAATTAAAATACAATATTGATTAAACTTAAGTAAATGTATACTTATAAAATGGATAGAGTCAGTATTATTTAACTATAGCAACTATATGTTATTATGGTAACGGTTAGGGTGTTGATTTAGAAAATTCAGTACCGTGTTAATTTTTCAGCACCCGTAATATATATAAATAACATACTACACAATAAGACTGTGTGCGGTTGATTTATAATTACAAGTGTATTGTATAACAGTATGTGGTGTGCTAAAATCAACTATTATTTGTGATGTATAAGACTATAACATGTTGTGTTAGTTTATATGTTATATTTGTGTTATTGGTCATAATTACAAGTGTGTTGTATGACAATATGTGGTATATTGAAATCAACTATTGTTTGTGTTGTATAAGATTATAGCATACGTTGTTAGTTAGTGCGGTTAGTTCGTGTGTTGTAATTGCATTATATGAATGCATATGATGTGTTGTCTGTACAAGTATATTGTCTTATAGCACATAATGTATTGTAGTGTATTATCAACATGGTGTATACTAGTGTACAAATTTGACTGTACCCGAAATATGTTAATATTAATATATATAATAATTATTTAAGTTTTAAATTATATATTATTGAAAATATTTATTATTGATATATAAACTTTTTTTAGAAAATGCTTAGTATTATTAAATTTTGAATTTGTTTATTTATGGTATTGGTTTGAGGTATTTATATATATAAGATATAAAGAAATATATTGATAATATAAAAAATAAATTTTATATTGAATGTTGAGTTTTTGTCAAAAAAAAAATATATATATATAATATATATTAAATATCGTATTAAATAAAAAAATAATACGGCAAAAAATCCTTTGAAACTTAAATAAAATAATACTCCCTCCGTCCCATAATTAAATATCTATTTTCTTTTTCCACGTAATTTTAGAAATATTAGTATTATATTTGAATGTAGTAGGAATAAAGTATAAATGACTAAAATAACCTTATTAGTAGGTGTGATATAAAAGTAATGATATTTGTGTAATATATTGTAAGTTGTAAGGGTATTTGTAATGTTAGGTAGATTATACCGTTACTAAAAAAAGAAATGAATATTTTGTTATGAGACGGACTAAAATGAAAAAATAAATACTTTGTTATGGAACGGAGGGAGTAATATATATATGTTACTTTCTCAATCTACTAAAAAATGTTTAATTTAGCCCTGTAAGAGATTGTTGGTGGTGTCGGGAGTGAACTTGTGACCATGAGATCATGGGTTCAAACTCCGACCCCTCCATGTCTACTTGTCACACATGGTGCGCATTTTTGGATAGCAGTT